GCCCGGAGCTGTGAGGCCTCCCTCTAAGGAGGACTGTGGTCTCGGCTCCCTTGGCCTATGGTCAAGGTCCCCCTTTAGCCAGTCACTGGCTGTGACTGCTTGCTGAGGTGAGAGCAAGTCACCAGGCTGTCCATTTCTGGGGGAGAGGGAGCTCTTTGGAGGCCTGAGCTGTGGGACGGCCCCATAACTGGGGTCCTGGTCTCTGCACCAGTGGCACTGTGCCATGCAACACCAGCCCTCAGAGTGTGGCTCCCCTATCAGCAGGCTGGAAGCCACGAGTGACTTATTTCTAGGCCCTCAGAACCCTGAGATGAGAGCCTGCTCTGTAATCAGGGCTGAGTCATCTGCCTTTGGGGCTTGAGGCCCCCGGGGCAGTTAAATTTCAGGGGGGCTCACCTGTGCCTCAGATTCATGGCCCCTGGCCTGGCTGCCTGTTTTTCTGTGGCCTTGCAGTGGGACCTCTGGCCAAGTACCCACTCATGACTGGGACCAAGGCATCTGCCCACGGGCCTTCAGGCCCACAGGGCAATTTACATTTCAGAAGGGCTCATCTGTAACTCAGGTGTGTAGCCTGTGGCCCAGCTGCCCACTTCTCTGTGGCCTCAGTGGTACCTTGGGCCAAGCGCCTACTCTGTAACTGGGGTGGAGACGTCTGCCCGCGGGGCTTCAGGCCCCTACTTGTCATTGGGGCTCGCCTGTAAGTCAGGTGTGTGGCCCAAGGCTTGCCAGCCTCAGTGGATGCCCTGTGCTGCACCTGGAGAGGAGCTGTCAAGACCGGTTGTAGCTCTGTTTTGGCCACGTGGTGCGAGGCTGGATGCAGTTTTGGACCCACCTACCCCTGGGAAAGGTGGAATCTGGAGCTGGGGCTGCAAGGCGCTCTGGTTTTCTCCTCTGGGAAAAGTAAGCAGATATGTGAGTTGGGGTGTGTCTGGGCATGCACCTGCATGTGGCAGAGCGTGGCTGTTGTGGAGGGTGTTGGTGTGGATGCTTAGTCCCTAAGATGCTGCAGCACACTTGGCTTACTCTTCACAGAAGCTGAAAACATGGAGCCTTGCACGCCCTAAGTGAAGGAGTCTCATGCCTCCCCCCAGGCGGGGTTCGTAGGGGTCCAGAGCACATCCCCTTGCTGCCAAGGAGCGGGCAGGCTCCCTTGGAGACCCTGGGCCAGGACCTGCCTGTAAGCGTGGAGCAAGTCAGCAGCCTTGGAGCAGAGCTGCCAATGGCCACTCCTCTTAGCGTGGCAGCCCTGGTAGCCATTCCGTCCCATAAGCCTTCCCTTCATGGGAGGTGCTGTCGCTGCTCTCGGACTTGAGGCTGAGCTGCTAGAGCCTGTCTGCTCCCTGAATGGGGAGGAGGTCTCTGCGGGCGGGCTTCCTGCCCGTGTCTGCCAGTAGGAGGCCCGAGGGCAAGAGCCCTCTGCGGTCTCTGGAGCCAGGGCATGGGCAAGGGCAGCAGGAGCAGCAGCCTCTTGCTTGATCGGGCAGCCGGGGCCAGCGCCCGGTCAGCTTAGGCTGCCGGTTGCATTCTCAGCACTCACGGGTGACATGGAGCTCCCCAGAACCCTGGTGTCCCAGTGCTGCGGGCTGCAGTCCGTGCCCTCACGGCACTGCCGTGGCCCTGCCGACAACAGCTCTGTAAGCAGAGGCAGAGTCGCAAGAGCTGCCGGTCTGAGAAGCCGGCAAGCCTGTAGTGCCTCGAGCGCCGGGGCTCTCTGCAGGGCAGGGGCTGAGCCATTTCCTGTGGCCCCTTGGCCAGAGGCAGCTTCTTGGAGGCAGTGGTGGAAGGAGACCCTGGCCCGAGGGCTGGCTAAGGCTCTTCTGCGTGTGTAGCCCATGGCCCCTTCCCCGAGCACTTCCAGAGTCCTGGCCCTTTGTCCCTGGCCTCCAAAGCTCTTGGATGTGTGCCATGATGTGTGAAGCCCTCTGCCCAGGAGGAGGAGGAGGCTGGAGGAGGAGACTCTCTTCCTTTTAGGCTTTGGCTGCCTCCCTGTTTTTATGTTGGCAGCTGACTCATGAAGACGAGCAATCCTTCATCTCTGAAGCTTGGAATCACAGCTCCATGTTCTTGTCAGACTTGCAAAGTTTGACTTTAACGTCTGGTAAAGGAGTTTACCATTGCTGCTTTCCTGCATTCTGAGCTGGGAGCTGGCACTGAAGCCTTGGGCTCCACTAGTACTTACCTGGCAGGTTTCCAGCTCTTTCTGTGGACTTGGACTGAGCCAGTAGCTGAGTTACGATGCCTATCAGGGATAAAGCTGCTGGGGGCATTTTAAGGGTTTAATATTCAAACAGCAAAGCTCTTCTGTTCTTCTAGAGGCACTTTGGCAAGTAGAAACCTCCAGGAAGTTTTTGTCCATGTTTTCCCACTGCTTGTAGATTTGTACTAAAGTTTAGTGAGTTCTGCTGTGTCTCTGGCACAGCCACATTGAGTTTGCTGGTCCTTAGGCTGAGACATGAAACTGTTTCTCCTTGGGGACAGCATGTGCCTGGGATGATGAGGGTCTTGTGAAAACTTTTTATGTTGCATCCAAATAAATCTAACTGAACCAACCAGGCAGTGAGCTTGGGTGTTCTTTATATAACCCATAAGCAATGTTGTAGCCTCAGGCTCCTTTTCTTTTTCATGGTTTTCCATAAAAAAAACGGTGGTCTTGTCTTCCAGGGTCTTGCTGTGTTTGCAGGGTTTCTCCATTTGTCAGGGTGGCTGTTATCTGTAAAGTTGTTTCTATTGGAAGGAACGATAGCAGGCAGCAGCTCTGTTTACACCAAAGAAGGATTTATCCTTCAGTCCTGGAGGCTGCCTCGCTAGCTAGCCCAGGCTTGAGAGGCTTGAGGAAGCAGCAGCAGCTCTATTCTGGATGTGTTGGCCAAGGAGATGAGTCTGATCCTCCCACCTCCCCAAGGCAAAAGCCAGACCTGCTTCTGCACGCTGGCGTGGAGCTGCTCCCTGTGGGTGTAGCAGCTCTTACTGGCTGTGTGCTTTGGTAAGTGCTGCTACAAAGGAGCTCTGGGAGATCCCTGGGGGATGTGGCTTGAACCTGACAGCCAGAAGCAAGGGCTCCAGACAGCTACAGCCCTCCATGCTAGGGGAAGTGGGGCTCAGGTCTGGGGCTGGATCACCTGCAGCTCACTGCTTCCTGGGTAGTTCCCAGTGGCCTTCTCTAAGGGTCTTGGAGAGGGCTAAGAGTTAGTAGGGCTGGGCATTTGTTGTAGCTGGCAGCAGCAGGGCACTGGGTAGGAGCTGGCAGCTTTGCAGGAGGCCATGGGACAACACCAGCAAGTGATTTCGACACTGCTTGGGTATGTTAGGAGCCAGCAAAGTGATGCTGCTGAGAAGTGTGGTCAAAGTACTGAGGTAGAAGAGCTTCAGCCACCTCCCACCTGTGCAAGAGGAGATGCCGGCGTCAGGAGCGAGGACCATGATGGAGAAGGCTATGCCCGACCATGCCAAAGGGCTCTGGCTGCTGGGGCCGAGGGCAGCCTCCCCAGGGCGCGGGCTGCAAGTTCTTCCATGGGGCAGGGGGGGCATGGGCTGATGATATGCAGGGGCTGCCCCT